GTTGTCATGTAGAGGAACTGGAAAGTCCCGAAGCCAGTGCGTACAAAAGAGATTTCAATTATGTTCTTAATTGTAGGCACAGACTCCAAAAATGCCTGCAGGTTTCGTCAGGCAGGAAACAGTCACGAGGTTTGAACTTTAAATCGCAATTAGCTAAACTTTCAGTCTGACTGAAAAGATGCTCCAAGGAAAACCCCTCTTTCTCTGAATTGCCATTTCACATTACTGCCTGCAAATTCATTCATGCGACAAGCTGCTCTTTCATCTCTTGGGTGGGGTCAGCTCCAGCAGCCCTGGCAAGAGAGGAAAATCACAGCCAGCTGCTGCTGATACTACTGCTGATTCCACAGTAGGGAGGCCTGTGATTTGGCAGGGAGGAAACTGATAAACATTCTGAACTGACATAGTCCTGTCTGCCACCAGTATTAGCAGCAGCCACAATGGTCACTGACAATTACAGTGTCTGATGGCTTTGAAATTATTACCTCCCTGGGAGTGAGATACAACTGCATGTTAACAGCACATGAACTTCCGGTCTAGTCTGGAAAATGACTAGCAGCTATGCCAAACTGGCTTCACACCTTCAGTTGTCGATACCCCATGAAGAACGGTCCAAACCACCAGATATATACAAAGAAACCCTTACAGGTAAAGGCAAAGAAAATAGACTGTGGATGTGGGGTTTACTTCGTAGCAACCATGATGTATGTATCAGAGACATGTTGGTGACAAACCCAATCTCTGTCTTGCTCCTCTCATTTTGCTGGCCTTCAGGTGGAATTTTGAACTTCTCTAGTCTAAGAATTCAGTTTAGTGCTGAAAAATGAAATTTGATAAAGCATGCTCTCAGTTACCAGCTGATGCTAAAATATCATGTGTTTTGAACACTGTGTATTGATGCAGTACAATGTTGTATTGTTTTCAAAGTGGGTCATGTTTGTTTCATGATTATCCTCTCTGAAATTACTGTTCACAGGTAACTATGTACATGCCTTGGTCTTGGAAAAAGCCATTTTAGAGGAAAGTTTGGCATAACACCTTCCCTCGTCTCTTACATAGGGTTCTCTTTAAAAAAAATAAAATAAAAATCAATGTTTTGTAAATAATGGAATCCATGTCATAGGAAGTTGAGAATTATAATCTTCTATCTTGACTGCATTTTCAAACACTTATCCATTACTGCAGGAACAGAAATGCGAGGCAAGATGACCAGAAAGCAAATGGAGAATCCTTCTTACAGCATCTCTGGAATGTCAAAAAACTTTTAAGTTCTTGGGCTGACTTATCCTTTTCTTATATAAAAAGCGCTACATAATTTTCTCCCTGCTTCTCTACAATGTATTCCACTACCAGTTAACTACATTCAGAACTAAAATTATCCTTTTATCAAAGAAGAAATAGAGTTATCAGAGGTCTTCTACTCCATCTTCTTACCCAGTAGCACAAGCACCAATATCCAAACCATCCTTTAAATACATCTATCTAGTCTGTCCTTATCTAATCTCCCCTTAAAAACAATGTCTCTTAGCAACTTATTTTCAAACTTAATTACTGATGCTGTCTAGCCACTCCCTCCGAATACCATCTCTTCTTTGGCAAGAACATTGTCATCTTGCATTGTTTGCCCTTTACTTTTTAATTAACTCATATCCCACAAAGCTCACCAGAGCTTTTTCCTCTACCAAGTCAGCAACAGAGTTTTTACTTTTCCTAACGTTTCACATATCTATAGGCTCCAATCCTCTTATACATTAACTTGATTGCTGCTGTTATCTTTTTTTATTCCTCATTTACTTTCCCCTGTTCCTGACAGTTCCTATCGAAATTAGTGGAAACGTCTGCAGAGGTTTACACCAGGTTCTTACTTTGATACATTTCAGATTTCTTCTCTAACTTAAATTCCTCAAGACTTCATGCTGCCTATATAACTAATTTTAGTTGCTTCCTGCAACCCGCTGTGTTCCTTGCCATACAACCAAACATGCCTTTGAGATCTACATTTTTCCTCACTATATGCTCCTGCTCTCTTCCCTAAGTTCTTTCATTTAAAATGCCAGTTGTCCTTCAGTGAAAGCATCTTTTTTTACACCTTCATGAAATTACTGAGAACCCATCTTTTCTACAAGTATTTTAGCAGTAATGAGCTCATGATTCTCTCTGCTGTTTATACCTGTCTATCAGCATCTCAGGACATCTCATCCTGAATCTCCATGCATGTTTAGGTGCTAGATGAACAACTGCAATATTAACACTGTCTTCAAGTCTTGGCCTATAAAAGAACTGTTCTGGAAAGAAAGACGAGGTATGGGGGAAAATTTAATTTAACCTTGGCTAGAGACACCAGTGGTTTTAAAAGCCTTTCGTTTAAAAAGTTCTTCCTCAATTGTATGATGCTATGTTTCCTCATTAAGCTTTTCTTTGACTTCCTGTTTTCAAGGTAGTTTGTTCTGCATTGTGGTGAACACCACTAAGTAAGTTTCTCCAAAGACTTCAGGACAATCCTCTGCCATGATTTGTTTGCTCTGTGAGTGGCAGTATTTCAAGGGCAGATATATAACCTTTCCATTAAACGATGATGGAAGTTAAGTGAGCTTTAATAAAGTCTAGTTACTTTGCAGCTTTGGGAAAATAGCCAAGATACACACTGTAAGGACGAAGTGAAAATAAGCTATCACAAAGAGCTTCTTCAAACTGCTTTATTTACAAATTTATATGATGGATATATAAGCCAAGAGGCAGGTGGGTCCCTTCCTTTGTGACTGACTGATAGCTATAGTAGTCCTGTCTCAGAACCTTACCTCATACTGAGACTCTGGCAACCTCTCCGGTGCTAACAGCTAAGCTTCTCCATCCCACTGGTGGACTCATTCTCCCTCTTTTCATTTCATCTTTACTACTACATCTATTTCAGCTTCTTCCTGTTTGGGGGTCAAATTCTAGGGTTCACTTTGTGTTAATCAAGGAAAACTTTGAGAGAAATACTTTTACAAATACATAATCCTCACAGGGGAAAATCTCCCCCAGAATCATCATTAACCAAGAGGTCAGCATCTATATCCTTCTGGACTCTTAGACAACAGACTCCTTAGACAACAGACTCCTTAGACAACAGACTCCTTAGACAACAAAGACCACATCAATACCATAGTACGTCTCACTCACGTGTTAGTGACAGTATGGTCACAACAGCACAGAACTCAGGATGAGTAAGTTTCTCAGCTGCTCTCTAGATCTCATCTTTCCTTTAGTGATCACATTAACAGTAATCCCAGGTCCTTTCTAATTTTTCCAAATTCTGTACTAAAAGAATCAAAATTCCAATTCAGGAGCAGATCTGAATTTTGTCTTCAAGTAAGGTATTTCCCAATGGCAATGGCCACTACTCTATGATACAGAGCAAAGTCACTGGTTTAAAAAAGAAAATAAAACCACTATTAACTGCTGTGTTGAAATCATTACTGACTACAAAGTCACACTGGAATGTACCGTGTACCAACTAAAATATATTGTAGCTATAGTCTAATACCTTCCTAAACCATTAAAGAAACTTCCCTGTGGGTCATATGAAGTTTGACATGCTTTTTGTAACTATGCTAGAGACTAGATGATGGAGTTTTCTGCTCTGTCTCACTGTAAAAACTTGTTACTCCCAGAGTCAGTGCAGACCCTGCTGCTTTAGGACACTCCACCAGCAGCTCATAAAAGGAGAAATCACTTGAGCAGCCAGTAACCAAATGATTAGAATACTTATACAGCATACAGACTTGGAGAAAACTAAGGTTTTAAACACATCTCAGACATATTTTATTTGCCTACAGTACCCCTGGCCTTTCTCTAAGGGCTTTGTCCATATACCTGATTTTAGCAACAGCATTTTGGTACAACAGATAATTTTAGAAAGAAAAGAAATGAGGGTGCTTCAAGCTATCACAGATGCACTGAGAACTGTTCACTCTGACACACCCATTCACAGCCCAGCAGCACTGAAACCATTACAGAAGTATCCAAACAAATGTGATATATATTCATTATACACACACACAGCCCTTGGGTGACAATGGCCATGAAAAATGTATTTTGTTAGACTCCTGGAACCGACGAGTAGAAAAGTAATGTAGAAGTGTAATTGTTATCCCCAACCACAAAATGCCTCGAGGCAGTTGCTGTCACAGTGAGAGTCTGTTAAAAGCATGGTCATTTCCCTCAAACACAGCTGAGCCTGCTGAAATTTCAAAAGTATTCTGTCATTTTGGACATAGATTTTTTTATTTTTTTCTCTGTATTAATGTTTCATTTTTAAATACAAATATTTGAAGCAGATAACGAAGGTACAGAAAGTTAACTGATAAGCAACGGAATTTTGTGGTCACTTCTAACCCCCTCTGTTCCAAAATCTTGTCAGTCAATCCCAAAGAAACCTTAGGAAGTCAGAAACAAGCATGCTTGGCACAAAAGCTCTCCAAATTTCAGTCACAGATCACTGCAGTTTTGCTTCTGTTTAGCAAGGCTGTGTCCAAATGCAGTATATACTAGCTGTTAGTTCAGCCCATGTAAACTCAAGAATGCAGTTGCTGTATGCTGGGGGGGGGAAGGGAGTGTCCAGCCCCATCCCCCCCAACTCCCCTCTTTACTGTTTGAAACAGAACTGGGAGAGCAAACGAACCATGTAATAGCAGCCACATTGTCGAACCAAGCATTACAAGAGCTACTCTAAATTCCCTAACGTACTTCTGTTCTTAGTTTAAACTTTAATGATCTACAATTCACTTTTTATAGATCTGGAATTGGTCTTTACAAGCAATACACAGCTTTCTGTGATTGTACAGACCAACATGGCTGAGGTTACAGTTCTAAAGCAGCTCTGATAACTCTTACAAATAGTAAAACTTTATATAAAGATAGATGCAAGAAAGCTGTTAGCTATCTAGCAGAAGAGCTCTTGCTGTCTGAAGCATAAACTTATTAGCAACCATAAGTGTTCTCATTCATTAAAAACTTACGTGTTTCTGTTAGACAGAGCTTCAGCAAACATAATCCAAAAGTTGCCCATAAGGAGAAGTTGGCCATTGTTTTCTCAGAACTGTTTTTCAAAAACCAGAGATCCTTGCAAGCTGCAGAAAGAAGAAAGGTCCTGATGCTTGTAAGCCTGCAGTCAATGAATCTGAAGTTTGCTGCACTTTTTATTCTGATTCAAAGGAACTGAAGTAATGACATAACTGGGAGGGGGAGCTCCATCAAAAGTCACACCCATATTGCAACAAAAGTTACCCAGCAGTGGAAAAAAGGGGTGGTGGAAGGCGAGCTAGTACTGACTAAGCAGCCACACTGAAGTCTTAAAGAGGCACTAAACCTCCTCTTGTTACACAAGCACAGTCAAAAGTTATACTTATTGCAGTTGCGGGAAAAATTGTGTAATCTCTCGTGAGTTAGCTCAGAAAAGCACTGTTTGTTTTAAGTTTCCCCTCCTGTATTTTAAAATCTCCTCATTATTGCAAACCAGGTGAGCATAAAGCACTAGATTTTCTGCACTCCAGCAAAGCATCTACAGCTAGCTGGATGTTTCCCCAAAATATTTTGCTTATTTTGTCCCATCTCACCATTTTCTCTTTTTGCAGTTCAATTTAGAGCAAGCAAAATGCCTGTTCTTGCAATGAATCTTTATAAAATGTGTCTGTTCATCCCTTGAGGATAACTCCATGCAGAAGGTAAGTTGAGGCAGTTCAGTCTCCAGCACCCCATTCTACCCTTGGCTTCTCTGCACAGGCTGCTCCAACAAAAGTAGAAACGAATGCCAGTACCAGCAGTGATACTGAGGACTAAGGCTGTATTTTATTATATTGATGGTATGAGGTACGGAAGGAATTATTCCTCTTATTCCCAAAACAGAGAAAACGGATGAGAACGTATTACAGTCTTTGACATTCAGACAAGGTCTCAGTTCCTGAGGGACATTACAGGACATGGAATTTTGTGTGACTCTAGATGCCACATGAAATCCCTGGTGAAAATCTTAAAGACTCTGTAGATAAGTGAAAGGCATGTCTGTTGTGTGCCTTGGCAATTTCTCATGTTGTCTCCATACACTTCAGAGCTGCCGAATTGCGACAGTGGTTTGTGTGCAGTGGAATGAAGGATTAGTCAGGGATCACCAAAGCCAGTATGTCTCACCTTTAACAATCAACATGTGGTAGTGACTGACAGCCAGTAATGCCCCAATTTCAGTTTCACTTAGCAAATTTGAAATGAATAGTTCTATATCAGATTACAATTTTGTTGATCCTCCCACTTGAAAGAATTTTCTCATTAATTTTTAATCTCTGTTAAGACAAACAATGGAAAAATACAGACAGGTCCTTCCAGCCACAGGTACGAGAACATTACACAAAGAGGTCTTCATAACTTTGCCTTTCCTTTGACTTTTGACTTGGAGATGGCTGACTATCCTTTCCTCAATCAGCCAAATTTTTAGCAACAGGTTCCAACAGGCTTTTCCTACAGGTCTAGAATATCTGGTGGGACAAGGTTAAAGTGTAAATCTTTTCTTAAACACAGGGGATCTTTTTAGTAAGAAGCTAGCAACTTTGAAGTTACAGATAAAACACATTCATTTAGTGAATACGCTACTTTTTCTTTTGAAACAAATGGCTTTAAAAGCAAGGAAAGAACCAATCTCTTATACACCTTACTGTTTATGGTACTGGAAAAAGAAATAGTTCTCTGAATTCCTGTATGTTTATAGCTATAGATATTTTTAGCATCAAAATATATGAAGTTTAGTGGGATTTAAAATGCTGGTGCACAGTTAATGCTTGTTGTAAGTTTACTAAGCATATCTTTTTCTTCAATTGATAAATTACTTCTAAAATTCACCCCTATGGATGAAACAAAAGAATGGAATATTTAATTAAAATTTAGGTAACTTTGAATCTTATTTTTTTAATGAGCATAAAATACTTCTCTGTTAATATCCTGTATTTACAAGTATATGGAATGAAAAAAATGAAACTAAATTTTCTTTGGCATAGGTAAATGGAAAATAATGTCCATTTCAGCGATGTGGGCAAGTGTTACAGAAGCAAAGTTTCATTTTACTAGGAGTGGAAATTCCTAGTCTCTTCATGGTCTGAAGTTTCAAATTCTAGCCCTTCTGACATCACATTATGAACAGGTTGTTTTCTCAATACTGAATATTATTTGATATGCATCTTAGACTTCTCAGTACTTCTGCATGTGTTTGGTGGGAGTGGGTGGTATTCCACTTTGGAAAGTCTCTCTCTTGTTTGTTGCCCTATAAAAATTCAGCTAAGGTTAGGCGTGTTTAGACCAGCTGCATGGATGTGCTAGTACCTAACGCAAAAGGAAAAGACAGATGTATACAAGAAAAATAATTCATCGCAGTACATCATTTAATGTGATAAACCACAGAAATAATTAATGAACTGTATGTATATAACAAGTAAGTTTGTCCATTTCATATGCCATCTGCTTGCTTACATGCCAGTCTAGGACACACTTGCATTCCAATACACTGAACACTTCAAAGAGCTACCATTAATAAATAAGTAAAAGAGCTGACACAAAAGTATTTCCTTCTTTCCCACCCAAACATGGAATTTCTCCCCTAAAATATGTTGGCCTGAGGTAGACAGCAGTCCAAATTTAGCCTGGGTGCAGGGCCTGATGCTGCCCAGAAAATTTAGTCAAAGGAGATGTGTAGCTTTGGGAAAAGTTTTTTTTGTTTCGCGGGTTTCTTTGTGAGAAATACATAACTTTTCCTTTAGCTTGGGATAATCTTAGTACGTAGGGACATAAAAATCGTAAAGCATCAGAGCATCGCTTTAAGTTGAGCCTATCAGTTTATTCCCATTGTGGATTTGTTCCCATGACGTTAACAACACAAATCACATAGTTAAATGTTTGAGCTTTTGGAATTTGCTTACTCCCTTGGCAACAAGCAGTAAAATTAGTGGCACTAAATATTCATAAAATAATAAGTGGTACCAAATGAATTAATTTTTCAAAAGAGAATTAAACAATACAACTACAAAGGATAAAAATCCAGCGTTTAAAAAAATGTTTTTCTGTGAAGCCTTTGACACAACAGGTGCTGAATCTATGATAGTGGAATATAGTACAGGAACACCGAAATAACTCATTCATGATTTTATCACATATGTGAACTGTAGCCAGCACCAATTAATTTTGATAAAAATCCTATTAGGCAGTATATGTGTTGGAGCCCAAGAAAAGGAACATGCATGGCTTACAGCGATATAGAGAGATGTTTTTGTGGGAATCCCCATAGAGGATGAAATTCTGAGCTAACTGAAGTCAAAGGCCAAAATTCCACTCAATTCAATGGGAGCCTCTCCCTATAATGTGTATTTATTTGGATTTTATTATGTGGACAGACTAGAAAATGAATGTACCTGAACTTTTGATGAAAAAATTACACCAATGGAGATTGGTTTCACTATCAAATGGTAACAACTGAAAGGAGGGAAGATTGGAATTTTTTTTCTGTTGAAATAGCTGGTATTTCTATTTTAAAAAACAGAAACTTTGAAAAAGGAAGCTCCTAATTTGAAAAAACTTTTTTTCTATTATCATCAGACTTTTTTTTTTTTAAATTAAGAAAATCCTTTTCTGAACATATTTTGGTGGAACTTTCAAACTTGTTATAGGGAGTTGAAGAACATAGTCTCGGTGAATATAAAAAGCACAAAGCTTATTAGGTGATTCTTGTCGTGGCAGTGTACATTCTGCATAGACTACAGTTGGTCTGTGAGACTGATTGTAAGTCAGTTTCAGGGGACGACAGAGGATTTTATACCCATTTAATTGTAATCTCAGTAAGATATGGTATTTTTAATAAGATTTCCTCCTATGTCCCTAGACTGCAATCTTGTTTCCTGCATTTCAGACTGGATTTAATTTCCATGATCAACCCTGAAACCAGGTTTTGTAATGGAAACAGTTGTAAATGCTTCAGTGTAGCAAATCCTGTAGTGCACACTTTTCTTGGGCTCTGAGTGTTGATGGGAAGGCATATGAAGAGCCTGTGCTGGTTTAAGCCAGAAAAGCTAGTCTTTTGGCTGGAGGGCAAAGCACTCCCTTGGGAAGTTGAGCACCCGGTTTTACTCCCATCAACCTTTTGTTCCTACATGTAATTTACAGCTTGTGTCCTGCAGAGAGTTAGGAAGATGAACAATGGCGCGTAGTTGTTTACTTCTGAAAAAGGCAGCAACCCAGATTGGCACCTACTTCGTGGATTCATCAGCCTGTTTTACTGGTTTGCCCCAGATCGCTAAACAACTCACTAACCCAACACAGGCACAAATCTTAACAAACAGAATCGCTCAAGTACGCCATAAGAAACTCTTTGCAGCAAGGTTTCTCCTGTGGCAGACCATGTGGCCCATCAGCTTTCTTTTTCCTGGCACTGTCCCAAAGAAATCACAGTACCAATCCCCATTCACAACTTTCACACCACCATACCACTATATAACTATAGTTAGTTACTACACTATCGAAGACGGGGCAGGAAACCTGCACACAGCAGCTGCCACCAGATGTCCAAGCACGCAGCACAGACATGCTGAATGCATTAGTGACTAATTGTGCCACAAACAGCTGTGGCAGTGGGGGAGTACAGGGAGAACTGAGGAGAGAAGGGGAGATACATTTTCTCTGTAGGTGGTTTCATTCTGTCTCTGCACCTCCCTCTCCCTTATTGGCCCTCCCAGCACACACCATGCAACAAGAACCTGGAAATCGGTATTATCAGAGCATGAGCTGCCATCTTTGCACTAAGCATTCTGTATTCCCACTTTAGTTTCTTTCATTTGCAGTTTAACAATAGACAAATCAAGCTTATACCAGGCCATCTCCAGGATGTGCTCTTTATCATCTCTCTCACTCTCCTCCTCACTGTCTTTCCATTCTCTTCCTTTTGATTTTGCTTCTTGACTGCTACCTCGACTTCTCTTTCCCATCTCCACTAATTTCTCTTTTTTCTTAGTCCCCATCCTTTCTCACCCACTCTCCCTTCTAGGCAGTATGTTGGA